GATCTTAGTAAGACCTTCAGCACAGTTACTATAATGGTGTTTACTGACTTTTGTTTTTTTCTTTTTACTGAGTTTATGGTGCCATTTTATTTATTGAAGTATGGTAATCTTAGAGTTAAACAAAGAAATCTAAAGGTTTTATCAGTTCTATTTATTCACAAATAGAATAATAGAATAACTAAAAGAAGAATAACTTTACTGGAATTAATTGAAGAGTGTGATTACACGGTGCTGAATATTACCACTTTACTCTTGTCATATATTGAAGTTGGTATGTTTGTAATTCAATGATTTCTGGTAAATATTTTCATCTTAAAGTGGTGTTATTTTGTGGGGGTTGTAATCAATGAAATGAAGCAACATGTGTATGAATTGTTGAATGAAAAACTGATCTTCTCTATATAAGACTTTACCCAATTTACAATAGAATGTTAAAAGAAAAAAATATCCTATCTGTAAAAATATTTTTACCCCACAGGCGCTATTTTTGGAGCACTGCAAGACATCCTTGGAAGCCGTTCCATCTCAAAGGAATATTATAATCAAACAGGTCGCATTCCAGATTGGTGTTCTCTCAATAACCCGCCATTGGAAATGATGTTTGATGTCGGGAAAGCCCAACCACCTCTGATGAAGAGAGCATTTTCCACTGAGAAATAAAAATTTAGTTAAAATTCAACTTTGCTTGATTTCAAATAGTTCTAAACAAGTTGTAGGAAGTATGCAAAATGTTTTGTTATATGCAACTTTTAATAGAGATGAAGACATTTCTATATTTACTTCTGCATTAATATTTAATTCTTTTTTATTTTGTTTCTCTTATGTGGTAGTACAATGACTGCTAATGCTTGTGAGATCTTACTGGATTTTTAACAATAAAATACAGTAAAATAATTTGGCAAGCTTATTTCATAGTCCACTTTTCAAAAAGAACAGCATTGCTCCTCTCCTGGGTATTATGGTATTTAGGAATTATTTAAAGAATAAATACTGTTACCAATCTCCTCTTTAGTGCTTTGTATCTTTTGAGGGCAGGGGTTCTTTGAAATATGCATTCATTTAAAAAATGTTGTTGTGTGTTTTTAATGAATTATTGTTGAAGTGTTGCTGGCATGCTGCCTAGATACCTGTGAAGATAAGAAATATGTGCACATGCGTACCTATCTAGGTACCCTGAATACATTTTCCAGACTGCATCTCAAGTCAATTCTTGCTCATTCTGATAGCCTTTTCTGGACCCTTCTGGGTTTCTGAGGCTGTAAGTCTATATTGAAGCAGATTGCCTCATCTTTCCCCTGGAGGAGGACCTGCCTGTTGGTTAATAGCCCAATGCTTGACGCACCTCACCCCCGGGACCCCGTTCTCACACATATAGAGGAGGTGGCAGAGTCGGTTAAGTGTTAGGCTGCTAGCCACAAGGTTAGCATTTCATACCCAACAGTTGTCCTTGAGAGAACAGTGTGGCCGCCTGGTGTGTAAATATTTAGTCTTAGAAACCCTAAGGAGCAGTTCTGTTCTGCACTGTAGGGTCACTCTGCCTTTGAATCAACTTAATGAGAGTAATACATTTAGATATAAGTCGCAGGTGTACATCCCTAGGGG